CATGCTTGTAGTGGCCAAAGGACAACTTGCAGAAGTCTGGTCTCTCCTACCATGTAGGTCCTAGGGGTTGAATTCAGGTTATCAGTGCCTTTTCCTACCAACTGAGCCATCTGGACAGTCCTAATGTAGTTTCTTTTTTTTAATATTTTTTATTTATTATTTTTATTTTTCATGTGTATGAGTGTATTGCCTGCATGTAGGTGATGCACCCGTGTTGTGCAATGCCATGGAGGTCAAGAGGGGGCTTTGGATTCCCCTGGAACTGGAGTTAAGGATGGTTCGTAGCTGCCATGTGGGTGCTGGGAATCGAACCTGGGTCCTCTGCAAGAGTAGTCAGTGCTCTTAACTGCTGAGCCATCTCTCCAGTTCCATAATGTTGTTTCTTAATGATACATTATGTCTACATATTGTCATATTTATGTCCACATAAAAATTGACTAAACAGAACACCAACTGTTCCTTACATCAAAGTTTATTGCCTACCTTCTTAGTCCTGTCATTATAAAAGATTTTAAACTATAATGTTGCAGGAGATTTTAGAGGGCGAATTTCTGTAACCTCAGTGTACCAGTTTTTGTTACTATTAGTTTCTGCTTGGCTACTGTTCATGTATAAATATAGTAAGTTATTTTACATTTAATAGTTTTCTGTTGATAGAGCATTAAAAGGATTTCTACTCATGTCTTTAGTTTTATGAATGGTGTTGCAGTGAACCTGTCAAATCTGAAGTCTGGCTTCTTTGTCAAGAAACTTCAATGGACTCTCATGAACATTTGAAATTTACCCTGTTCTGACTTTTTTCTAGTTACCTGTCTAGAATTTGTAATGCTAATTACTCTTGCCTTTGCTTCTCCTTCACGTCTCCTATTCATGATTCAAGGACTTTCTTTTCCCTTAGAGGCAAGATTTATGCAATTTGGGAGTCTTTTAGATAGATAGACCCACTGACGGGGTACTCCAATTGCCTCACCCTACGTCCCTGTTCAGCATGGAAGAAGCCAGAGTGGTCTGCATCTCTATTCCCTATTGGCAATTTGGGTAACCCCTTCAGAGGATGGCATAAGAATAGGAGGTAGGAATTGGCTTGGCAGTTAGGGTAAAAAGACCCCAAAGAAATGTAGCCAGTTTCTTGGCTAAAAGTCAAAATGTCCTTGGGCCTGTTAGCAACATACTCTGTTCCAAAGGCCAAAAATGTCAAAAGTATTTAGGAGCTTGTATCTAATCCTTAAAAGATTTTAGGGTTACCTCTTCAGAGGCGGGAATGTTGGAGGGGGGAGGGAGTGGGCATGGATTTGATCAAAACACCTTATATGCATTTATGAATTCTCAATCAAGTTTTTGTAAAAGTTAAAAAAAAAAAAGATATTCCTCAAAAGGGGGCTGTTGAATCAGAGGATGTTGGATTTTGATTTTAGATTTACCTTACTCTAGAAATGAAGAACTTTGAGATATTTATGACTGTGGGGATTTTAGTTTTGGAGGATTTATTATATTGTTAACTTTTTTCCCCCTTCTTTTTGAGACAGAATCTCACTGGCTGGCCTGGAACTCAAGATCCTCCTGCCTTAGCCTCCCAAGTGCTAGGATCACCCACATGTGCCACCAAGCCCAACTTGATTGTTTATTGAGACAGAATCTCACTGTATACTGTAGACTGGCTTCACACTTATACTGTTGCCCAGACTGTCCTTGAAATTTGAATCCTCTTGTCTCAGCCTCCTGAATGCTAGTCTTTTTATTTTAATTGAATGATACCTTATAATTTGGGAAAATCAGAATATGTCAACCAAGGCTGGTGCAATTACTCAGCAGGTAAAAGCCCTTTCTGTGCATGCCTGATGACCTGAGTTCTATCCCCAGAACTAACCATGCAAGAAGAGAATTGAAAGTTAGCTTCTGACCTCCTTCTTATGTACTGTGGGGCACACTCACTCCTGTGTAATACAGGAATGCGTATATATGAGATATATGGACAATAAAAATAAAATTTAGAAAGTGTCCCCCAATAGTTTTAAAACAATTGTTCCGTTGTTTTAAGAATTACTTTGTGTGTGTGTGTGTGTGTGAATTTCAACCCCAGGTGCAGCAGGGACAAAGAGTTGAATTAGAGAATATAAAGAAAGCAACTAATAGTCCAAGGATACTGGGATCACAGAAAGGCAGGCTCCCCTGTGGTTATGAAGAGAAACAGAAGACTTAGTCCTAGTTCTTGAGAAATGCTCAATGTAGGGCTAGAGATATGGGTCAGAGGACCTGAGTTCAGTCCCAGCACATGTGTGTGTGTGTGTGTGTGTGTGTGTGTGTGTGTGTGTGTATTGGGGGGGAGGGATCAGTTGGGTAGTGGCACTTGCCTCCAAGTCTGATGACATGAGTTTGATCCCTAGAACCCATATGGAAGGGCAAGCAGAACTGATTCCTAAAGTTGCTCTCTGACCTCCATGTGTGAGTCACAGAACTTGCATGTACACACATACAAAGGAAAGAAGGGAGGTGGGGAGGGGGAGAAAGAAGGAAGAGAGAGAGAGAGAAAAAAAAATTAAAATTATTTTAAAAACTCACTATACCTACTATAGTAGGTATAGGTATTTAACATGAGGACCTCAGAATATCATTTGTGCTTTCTTGCATGGCCACCTTTTCAGTATTGTGGTCTTTATTTGAATTACAAAATTATGTGAAGTACTTTACTGTTTCATGTGCTTGAACGTACTACATTTGCACTGAAAGTTTGGTTTTATCTACTCCAAAATACTGAAGTTTTAACCATACTCCAGTAACATTGCAATTTGATGTAAGTCCTTAAGAGTGACTCTTTCTACTTAGCCACAATTCCTGCATGTAGCTTTAATAGTATTGTACATCATTGCCAAAATTCAACTTTTTTAGAAAAAGAGCTAGCTAGACATGGTGGCATATACCTATAATCCAAGCATTTAGGAAGTAGAGGCAGAAGGATCTGGAGTTCAAAGCTAGCCCCAGCTACACAGTAAGTTCCAGCCTGGGCTACATGATTTCCCCCCCCCCCCAAAAAAAAAAGTTTTAAAGGAGCCAAGCACGGTAGCTCACTCTTATAACCTCAGCATCCAGAAAATGAGTAAAATAAGCAATTATTATCTAGAATAAGGTAGATTTGTAAGTACATGCAATATAGTCTTAGTTTTTGGAAAACAAAAACTGTATAGATATATTTATAATAGAAACTTTTAGAATGGGTTACTTGATAATATTAATGTGAGAATGTCTGTGGGTTGGAGGGAGACATAATTATTTCTGTATTTAAATCTCATACATGAGCGTGTTCTAATTTTGAAACTGAAACATTTAATAGTGTACACTTAGATGACTATTAGTTCTCAAAGTGTTTAAAATATACTAGAGATTGTAATCTCTTCTAGAATGACTAAACATTCTAATTTTATACCTCTTTCTGCTGACTCTTGACACACTGGGTATCAGAATCAAATTAGAATTGACTTGAGCCGTTTGAAGGTAGGGCAATGTATTAAGAAACAGTTGACTATAAAAGTTGTTTTTTGTCTTGGTCTGAGGACTGATTTGAATGTAACCATTAAATCTGAAATGGTTTTTAGTGCCCAAAGTACCAAGTTCTAGGGAATGTTACAAATAAGAAGTAGGATAGGAGCTGTGCATGGTGGTTCACACCTTTAATCCCAGCCCTTAGGAGACAGAAGCAAGTGGATCTCTGTAAGTTTGAGGCCAGTCCGTTCTACATAGTTTGTGCCAGTCCGTTCTACATAGTTTGTTCCAGGCCAGCCAGGACTACATAGTGAGACCCTGTCTCAAAAAAAATCAAAGCAAGCAAACAAAACAACAAAAAGAAAAAGGATGTCTTGTCATGAGAAAGTCAGGTAGAAGCTATAGTATTATAAAATATAGACACAGAAATGCATTGTGTTGTTCTGTATGTGAAAGGGAGAGATTAATTTCAGAGTGAATTTACCTTATATGTAGGTTAACTATCACACTAGTCGGTAAAAATTCAACAAAGTTCAACTGGGTTGGGGGGGTGTTAATATGAATAAAGAAGTTGGGAAAGTATTATTAAAGTGCTAGGGCAGGGAGCTTACAAAGCAACAATAGTTGGTAAGTTGTTACTCCCAGTAGTGTCAGTAGTTGATTAGTCAGTGTCATTTAACTGTTAGTAGGCCAGAGCAACAAATGTACTTATGCAAGCTACTGCTTTTATTTTTCAGGCATAAATCCTGGTTCAGTGTAAGGTTCCCTGTTCTGTAACTTAAGGACATTTCCCAGGTTTTCTTCTGATCCAGCACCTTCAACACATACTGTTTTGACCATTGAAATAAATGCATACTTAACATTCAAACCAGAGTCTATATAGATTCAATGTGACCTTAGTCCTGCTTAAACCATTTCCATCACTTTGGCCTACTATTTGCATAAACAGTCTTGGTGATATTAGGTATATTATATAAAGTTTGGTCTCTAGTAATTTTTGGGTTTTGTTTTTGTTTCTGTTTTTTAACCCAAGGCTTAGCTTGCAACTCAGGTTGGTACTAAACTCTTAAAATTGTTTTGATTTGTTTTTATTTTATATGCTGAGTATTTTGCCTGCATCTATATAAGTACACCTGTTTCATGCCATGCCTTCCTCTGGAAGAGCAGCCAGTGCTCTTAACCACTGAGCCGTCTCTCCACCCCCATGACACCAAACTTGATTATCCTGCTTCAGCCTCCCGGAGTGCTAGGATTACACCATAATGCTCAGCAGTGAATATTTTTGTAAATGATAGGAAGACTGTATTTGAACTTGGCATTCTGATACTTATTTTACTTACTAATAAAACTTTCATTATGATACAGAATCTACATAGGATGTATCTATCCACAAGCTATGCACATACTGTAAATAGACTTTGTATTTGTATTGCAATGTTTTAATATAAGTATTTACAATTTTTAATTGATTAAAAGAAAAAAAATGAATGGAATTCTCACTGACGGGACTTTTTTCCCTCTAGACCAGAATCCGTAGAAGCTAGCCCTGTGGTAGTTGAGAAATCCAACAGTTATCCCCACCAGTTATATACCAGCAGCTCACATCATTCACATAGTTATATTGGTTTGCCCTATGCGGTAAGTATCAAACATTTCTCTATAAGGAATTTTTAAAGTTAGAAGTTGAAAGTAGATGTGTTATGCTTAAAGAAAATGGTGTTATCCTTAAAACAGTATCTGAAAAACACAGCTGTTTGATCATTTGTATGTAATTAAGTATATAACCACAGTATTAAGGTACTAAAATCCTATAAGAAGAACTCTTTAGAGTTTTTTTAACTTGCTATTATTATTTTGTAATTTATGTTGATGTGTCTTTAACCTCTCAATAAATAACTTGGATAAGTTGGATAAGAGGCCAGGTGTAGTGGTGCATGCCTTTAATCCCAGCACTTGGGAGGCAGAGGCAGGTGCTATGAAAGTAAGGCCAGCCTGGACTACATAGTGAGTCCCAGGGTAGCTGGGGCTACAGGGAGACTTTGTCTCAAAAAAAAAAGATCATATTGTACTATTTATGGTTAATTCTAAATTGTATAGTAATGAATTAGCAAATTGTATAGTTATTATTTATTATGTATCCCACTTTATGTTAAACTAATACATAGAGTATCTCATTTAATTTTTTAAAAAGAATCCAATGAAAGGTAATTTTCATCCCTGTTCTACAGCTGAGAGGATGAAAGCTTATCCCCTTTATTTAGTATTATGAGTTCTGTAGTATTTGAATTCAAAGAGCTATAGGACTGGACACATTTGTGATATTAGGAAGGTACAATTATGAGAGATTTTATTACCTAGGCCAGAATAGAAATTATCAAAAAATTAAAATCCCATTATTATATACTTTACAGTTATGATTTCTGTTACGCTGTTATTTTTGCTTTGTTTTAAGCTACATTTGTGCATATTTATGCTCATGTGCACATGGGCATGTGTGCTGTTACATACATAATAGAGTAGAGCTCAGAGGACAATTTGTGGGGGTGGGTTTTTTTTCCTATATGGGCCCTGGGGCTCAAACTCAGATTGTCAAGCTTTGCAGCAAGCACCTTTACATACTGAGCCATCTCTCCAGCCTAATTTTTGCTATTCTTTTTTGTTGTTGTTGTTAATTATTTTTATTTTGCAAGTATGAGTGTATTGCCTGCATGTGTATAAGTACACCCATGTCATACATTGTCCAAGGAGATCAGAAGAAGGCATCAGATCCCCTGGAACTGGAGTTATGAACAATTGTTAACTGCCTTGTGGGTGCTGGGAATTGAGTCAGGGTCCTCTGCAAGAGTGGCTAGTGCTCTTAACTTCTGAGCCATCTCTCCAGCCCCAATTTTTGCTATTCTTTAGCTCTTACATTCCTGTGAGGCTCTGTGTTATGTTTTTACCCTTTTTCTCACATCATGCACTTACTTTCCTCTTGAAAGTAAAAGTGATCAAAGGACTGGAAAGATTATTTCTAGTTTGGAGGGGAGGAGAAATGTAATTGATACGAAGGTGACTGTCTCTACTTCATGTACAGTTACATTCACTTACCACTTTAGGTTGTTAGCTTTATGTCATTATTTTGAAGGTATTAAGGAAGACATGGGCTAATTAAATATGTTGAGTATTCAAATTAAGGGATGAGTTTTATTTAGGTTGCCTAGTTTATATCATTGAAATTAATATTGTGCTGTTTTTGTGTTCCATTATTTAGGACCATAATTACGGTGCTCGTCCTCCTCCAACACCTCCAGCTTCCCCTCCTCCATCAGTTCTTATTAGCAAAAATGAAGTAGGCATATTTACCACTCCTAATTTTGACGAAACTTCTAGTGCTACTACAATCAGCACATCTGAGGATGGAAGTTATGGTACTGATGTAACCAGGTGTATATGTGGTTTTACACATGATGATGGATACATGATCTGTTGTGACAAATGCAGGTAAAATCTTTCATACCATTAGTTCACTTTTCTTGCATGCTTCTAACCTTTGATAATTTGGTAAACATAAGTAAAGTCACTTTTGAAGGAATTAATTCCTTTTTAAAGTAGGATTTTTGCTACTATTGATGCAGGCTATTTTACTCCTAGAAAAAAAGTCCATATTTAAAAGAAGCTATTTTAGGGCAGTTAAGAGTACATAGTGTTGTTGTTGAAAAAAGTTTAGTTCCCAGCACCCATGGTGGATGGCTCACATCCACCTTTAACTCCAGCTCTAGGAGCTCCAATACCCTCTTGTGTCCTCCATGGATGAACACGCATGCACACCACACACGCATGCATCCAATTACACATACACACACACACACACACACACACACACACACAACCATTTAAAAAATTTAAAAACCTTGAATAAAAAAATAAGCTGTTAGAGGGGCTGGAGAGATAGCTCAGTAGTTAAGAACACTTGCTGTGCAAGGTGTGGTGGAGCATACCTTTAATCCCAGCACTTAGGAGGCAGAAGCAGGCAGATCTCTGAGTTCCAGGCGAGCCTGGTCTACAAAGTGAGTTTAGGCCAGCTGGGGCTACAGGGAGACCCTGTCTCAAAAAAAAGCACTTGCTGTTTGGCCTCTGTAGGCATTGTACACACATGGTACCCTTACATACGTGCAGGCAGAATACTCATAAAATTAAAGTCGTGAATAAAATATTTTAAAAAATCTATTAGAAGCCAGGCGTGATGGCACATGCCTTTAATCCCAGCACTTGGGAGGCAGAGGCAGGCAGATCTCTGTGAGTTCAAGGCCAGCCTGGTCTACATAGTGAGTTTCAGGACAGCTGGGGCTACAGTGAGACCCTCTCTCAAAAAGAACAAAAACAAAAAAAAAAAAAAAAAAAACTATTAGGAAAAAAATACATTAGAAATCCATTGTGAATTAAGCAATAATCAGTTCTGAATTATATATAGGATCATCTCCCTTTTCACTTAGTTCAGGAATAATAAAAGGACATACATAGAAACAACAAGATATAAATGAGAGAATTGAGAGTATTGTATCGTCAACTATGATTTTCCAGTTTGGGGGAATTAAACATTTTAATTGATGTTTGTTTGACCTGACCCTCTCACATCCTTTTGACTTGAACCTTGCAGCAACTCTGGAGTCTTCTCGAACCAGAACTAGTCTCCCCCCCAACCCTGGTTCAACCACCAAGAAAGGCCTCCTCCCCTAGAGAAGGTGTGATTGGGATAGAAAGTGGGGTTCCTTCCTCCTTTCCTCCCTGTCTTTCTGTCTCATTGTCTGTCTCTGTCTCTTGCTTACAGTGGGAGGGGTTCAGAGCGAATGTTGATAGAACAGTAAGATTTCAGCTTTAAAGGTGTTCAGTCCATCCCCTTCATAGAATGGGGAGCAGAGAGTATTTCGGTAGCACATTGTAGAGGGCAAGAAAGTTTGATGATTTTATAGAATGTCCTGGGCCTGGAACTTATGGCATGGTTTTATTATTTGAGTTGAAGTAGCATGGCTTATATATCTGTATTTGAGTGAAACTGTATCTTAAAGTTTCTACCTATTAGAGTAAATTACTAGGATTTAGTTGATATAAAAATGGATATTTGAAAAAGTTCATTTATCTGACAAAAATGTAGGAAGTGAATGTAGAATATGAAATTTGATTTTTTTAAATGTAAGAATGTAATGTGACTACGTTGATTAAATTTTAGTAATATACTGTGGTACCTTTAAAATTTAGAAATAAATTCTCATTACCTGTGGCACATCATAAGAAATGATTTTGGTAAATTTATTGAGGAGGTAAATTTAAAAACTTTAAAGTGTGGTGACCTCTTTTCTGCCTTATATTAGAAAGTATCAGTTCTTATAGACAATTATATAAAAGCTTTCTCTTAGCAGATCTCATCCAATGTAATAAATTACTATTTAGTGATGTTTTTATTTTAAAACATAATCTAAGGAATGGTTTTCTTTTGATCTAATTACACACACACGTAGTTATATATATAGTTATATAGTTATATATAGGTATACACATACGTACATATATATAGTTACCCCTATTAGACAGTTATGAAACTGTCCTTATAATTTTTTATACCTACCTACACATTCTTGAAGGCACAGTTTCTGGATTATTCTAGGTATTTGCTTCTCAATGACTCTTTCATGACTCAGTGTCTGTCTTTCTGTCTGTCTGGTCTTTCTACCCCACCCCACTTCTATTTTGCTGTTCAATCTATAGTGTGCTATAAAGACTAACTTTACTCCTCTTCCTTTCTTTATGTTGTCTCCTCCTTGTGCCCATGCTCATCTCTGTGACTTTGACATCTAGAACTCTGCTCTTTTATTTTCTAGTTTTTTTTCTTATGTTGTCTACATGACATAATAATCCCATAAATTCAGCTTAATTTGTTATCTTCTTGAGAGTTTTCAGTTAAGAAGAATGAATAACACAATACCATTTAATTTAGTATTTTTATATTAGAAGTAGCTGATTATAGGGAGTGAGAGATGGCTCAGTGGGTAACAGTGTCTGACATCAAATCTGACAACTTGAGTTTGATCCCTGGATACCATATGGTGGACTGAGAAAATCAACTCTTTCCTACAAGTTGTCCTCTGACCTCCACATGTATGCCATGGCACATGCACATTCATACACATTTACACAAACAAATGTAATTTTTAAAAAAATGATTATGTATAAGGAATAGCTAAGACTATATTTGGGAATAGACATATATAGCTACTTTAGGCACTTGAAGTTTTGGCAATAACAAATTAAGTTTAGCTCAAACTGGTCCATATACTCCATTAAAAGTAGTTAGGTTAGCTGGGTATGGTGGTACACAGCTTTGATCCCAGCACTCAAGAGGCAGAGGCAAGCAGATCTCTTGAGATTGAGGCCAACCTGGTCTACGTAGTGAGTTCCAGGCCATCTAGGGCTACCGGGAGACCCTGCCTCAAAAAACAACAAAGTAGGTTGAATTTCTGTGCCCATGAAATACCTCTTGGATTCTTTGACCTCTTTTCTTTGGTATTCTAGTTCTATCTTAACTACAAAATGTTAGAAGAATTCTTTTAGTTGTTCTTTACTTCTATTTTCTTAGCTCTGAATTAATACTGTATGCCACCAAATAATTTGTTAAATGTTAACAGAAGATATCCAGCTTTGCTCCTTCCCAATTTAACAAAATAGTCTTCTTCGTGTATATTGACTACCTTTTATTCATCTTCTCATAGCTATTAAATGTTTCAGTGACACCTTTTCTTCCTGTTTCCCCAAATCAGTTTCTTGTCATATGCACTATATTATCTGGGGTACTTTCCCCATAAACTTAAAAGTATTATGGACAGCTTCAGGTTTCTAATAATATTTTTAACCATTACCTTTTACATTTTAAATTGCATTTGCTTCAGAAGTTTATTTTATGATTATTTGCTGTATTTTTGCTTCTTAAATGTTTATCTACCTGAGGATACATTTAGTATGCTAAGTTTAACGGGACTTCTTAAATGATAGATGAAATATTAAATCTTAATTTATGAATGGTTTTAATGTTTTCTGTTTTTTCTTGTTTGCTATGTTTTGTTTTGTTTTGTTTTCTTTTTAAGTGTTTGGCAACATATTGACTGCATGGGGATTGACAGGCAGCATATTCCTGATACATATTTATGTGAACGTTGTCAGCCCAGGTAAGTTATCATACCTGCTAAGATTGTCAGTAATTACACTGAGAACAATTTCACAAAAATTTACTCATGAATGAAATTGTGAATCACAATATTCTGGTATTTTCAGATGATCCTTTTCATTTGAATGTTCATTATTTTTGTATCCTGAAACCTAAAATCAAGAATCCTTTCCTCATTGATGGTGCATTGTGGTTTGCTATGTAATTTCAATTTCATTAGTGATCTATATGATCATAATGTATCTTTAGTGTTGGGCATCATTTTTCACTAAAATTCATTATATCAGTTATTAGAGCTGGGTCTGATAGCATAGGCCTATAATCCAAGCTATTTGAGTGGCTAAGGCAGGAGGATTGAAAAACTCAAGTCTGTCCAGGGGTAAAGTTCAACGCCAGCCTAGGTAACTTAGTAAGACTCTGCATCAAAATAAAAGCATAAAAAATGAGCTGGGGATTTAGCCCTGTGGTGGCATAATGCTTGTTTAGATGTGAAAGGCCCTGGGTTCAACTCTTAGTACCCATCCTTCCTGCCCCACCCCCATCCCCCAAAAAGGAGTTATTAGAACTTCCACTACAAAGATAAAGTAAATCCAGTTGTTCTGGGTGTGGCACATACCTTTAATCCCAGCACTTGAGAGGCAGAGGCAGGAGGATCTTTGTAACTTCAAGGCCAGCCTGGTCTATGTAGCAAGTTTCAGGCCAGTTGGGGCTACAGAGGGACCCTCTCTCAAAAAGAGCCCCCCCCCAAAAATTTTTAAAATGAAGATCCAGTTGTAACAGGATGAAAAGCCCAAAAGATGCTAGCAGGATGTTGTTCTGTTCTTGGTTTCCTAGTCCTTGTGTTCTCATTCAAATGAATTCAGATGAGGCACAGTGTATAGAACACAGAATTTATTTCAGAATAAATTGAGGCACTCTCAAGTGTGAGAGTGGACAATGGTGTTTTAGTTTTCTGTTACTATAATAAAGCACTGACCAAAACCAACTTGGGGAAGGAAGGATTTATTTGGCTACACATCATCAAGGGAAGCCAAGACAGGAGTTTGAAGCAGAAACTATGGAAGGAAAGCTGCTTATTGGCTTGCTCAGCAACTTTTGTTATGCAACTCAAACTCACTTACCCAAGGATGGCACTGTCCACAGTGGGTTTGGCCCTCCCACATGCCTTGCAAATATTTGCCCACAGGCCAGTCTGATGATGGAAATCCTCAGTTGAGGTTCCTTTTTCCCAGGTTACTCTAGTTGCGACAAACTGACACAGAGCCATTGCTTTTTTTTTTTTTTTTTTTTTTTTTTGAGAAAGATGGGGTCTTCTTGTAGCCCCAGCTGGCCTGGAATTCACTCTGTAGAGCTAGGCTTCTGTTTTGTTTTTTGAATACGAAGCTTTATATTATGGAACCAAGCAAGGTGGTGCATGCCTGTAATTCTGGCACTTGGGAGGTGGATGCAGGGGGATTAAGAATTGCTTGGCTACACAGCAAGTTTAAGTTCAGCCTATGCTACATGAGACCCTGTCTCAACAACAAACAACATCAGCAACAAGTCTCTTCATTATGGACATTTAAAATTCCATGAAAAGGCCTTGGGGAATGGCGCTTAGTAAAGTGCATATAGAACCCATGCAGAAAAGCTGGGTACAGTGATACAGTTTTTAGTCCCAGCACCAGGGAGGCAAAAACACTAGAATCCTTGCGCCTCACTGGCTAGCCAGCCTAGTTTAATTAGTGAGGTTCAGGCAAATAACTGTGTTTCAGAGGAAGTGGATGGGGTTTCTACTGCTCTCCATGTTGAATGTGCACACATGAATGTACTGAAAAAAAAAAAAAAAGAAACCTATTCAATATAGTAGAAAGAAATCACCCCATTTCAGTGATTATCAACAGTTTTGTCTATTTGTTTACTTTCAAGATAAAGTCATGACATTTTATGCTTACAATTACAGTTCACATTTAGGAGTGTAAGTTTTTATTTTACATCTATATATAGTATATCTTTTATCCAAGTTCTCAAAAAGACAAGAATATTGGAATTAAAATATTACAAAGTTACTCAGTTGCTTAGTTCCATAGAATACAAGTCTCAGAATGCTATCAACACTAGCAGTATTAACATGATCATATAAAGCAATTTAGAACTTTTTTCCCTTGAGAAATATAGGCCATAAGGGGATATAAAGTCAGGGTTTTGTTTTTTGTTTTTTGTTTTCCTTTTTTATGCTATATATTTTTAATTGAATTTTTGTGCATTTCATACAATATATCATAATCATATTTAGACTCCCTCCGTACCTGCACCCACCCCATAGGCCCCCCACACCAGATTTCATGCATTCTGTCATATATGTTAAGGCCTTTTTTTTTTCTGTTTTTAATT